TTTTTTTTTTTTTTTTTTTTTTAATTCTTTATTCTTTTTCCTGGAGACAGCACAGAACTCGGAAGTTGCTATCGAAATAATGTTATTTGGGAACTGGCTTTTAAGGAAGCAGAACAGTTGATTAATGCACCTATGTGCAATAAAGCAGTGTACTTGGTCTTCAGATTTTTGGACACTTAATTTTTTTTTGTCTGTTTATGATGAAAGTGAGTGGATCATCAGTGTGGCCTATTAACAGTCTCCTTTCTCTTCTGATTGCTGGAACTCATGTAGCTCTTTATAGACTCTGGAAGGACATCACATGAGGTCTCAACGCATTTATTAAACAATAGAAGTAGTGAGAGAGAGAGACAGGATGTAAACACTCGTCCCTAAACATGAGCGTTTATATCTCCAGCTTGCTGTTTGAGTCTGGTTTCATGGCTGGGAGTGCCCTCGGGTCATCATTGAGCAGCTCGTTAGACTGTGACTTCCAAATGATGAATGTGTCCCCTTAAATTACAGATCACTACCCCATAACAAAAATCACCACTATTATTGGCCTCTGCAGGGGCACCAAAGGGTGACTGGGCAGTGGTGGAGGGCTTCACCTGCTACAACACTGCTCTGTCCCTGATGGTAAATGGAAATCTGTCAACAGTCTGTCCTGTAGGACATGCGGTGGGGAAGTTGGCTCAGCACTTGCTGTTCTGTCTTTTTACTATAGACAGAGTTTTCCTGTCTGTAGTACTGCCCGTCAGATTAGTTAGGGTCAAAAGCTGAATACTTGGATTTTTGACCGTTGAATGAACCTCACAAAAACTAAAGACAAGGAAATCAGTTCTACAGTGCTCTGTCCAGTACTTGAGGATGGATTTGAACATCAAAGGATGGGTAGTTCAGAAAGACAGAGACACAGTTGTGTTCTTGAAATCAGAAGAGTGTATAAATTCCCCTTATCTCTTTGAGGGAAGAACCTCCCCCATGCTGTTTGTATTGTGTTGTTCCTTTTGCTATGACAAATCCTGACAAAATCAGCTTAAATGGAACAAGTTGGTATCTAAGATGGCTGGGAAATGAAGGGACCATTATGTTTAATTACTTACAGTGAAACAGTTTTTGAACTATGGTTGTGGACTTAGTTTGGGAATGTCTGTCCCCCTGTTTGATAAACAAAAAGCTACTTATCATAGCAGACTGCCTGTTCATTGTCTACCTACTGGAGGCAAAACAAAGTCCTGTTTTCCCCCCAAAAATGAGCAAGTGTAGCAGAAGCGTCAATGATGGGTGTGCAGTAGAAGTTTGGGCCATTCCGGAGCATGCTGCAGCCAGGGCAGAGTTGAGGCAAATGTTTGGCAGCAATTTCCTCCCAGCAGCCTGCAGACCTCTTGTGTTGGTCTGTCAAGAGCCAGTTGCAGTAGTAATACCTCCCCGCTGCCCCCTGACAGATTGATTTTTGACCCTTAACTTCCCCTTCCACCTGATAATTACTTGATCATGTTCTCTCGCGATGCCCTTTCCACCTGGTGGTGGCCTGGTTTTGTCATTTTCCCATTCTGCTGCTGCCCTCTCCACCTTTTGGCTATTTGTTCTTAAAACCCTCTCTTCCTCACTGCCTTCCTCCTCTTTCTGGCCATCTCAAAATTCATCATTAATATCCAAAAATATTTGGATGTTGGATATCAAAAATTTTTTGGATTTTGCTGACTCCCAGCAATTTGGTCTCTAATGCCTGCTGGTTGGTGGGAGCGGGGAAGGGGGAGTGAAAATCAGGGTTTTCCCTTTTAATTTGTGCTCCTTTGCTGCTGGTTTGACCTTTAATCAGGTGTCTGGCTGTTGTTTGCTTGCTGATGGCTTTTACAGAACGGTTGCTTGTAAATATATACAGAAAGGGCAGGAGAGTAACTGGAGATTGTAGACCACTCTTTTATTTCCTGGGAACCTATTAAAGGTGGTTTCCAGTTTATCCATCCATCTCTTTGTCAAGTTGCCTCCTTGTGTCCATCCACTTGTGGGTTTATTTAGTGGTAATGTTAGCTACTGTATCATCCTCTAGGACTGTAACAGTGTGTTTCAGAATAAAACCAGAGATGCAAAGTGCGCTGAACCCATTATAAAAAAATAAAAGGGCTTTCCTTGATGGCATTTAGCTCAATAAACACAGTTTGTCAGAGATGTCTTTATCTCCTACATTTAAGCGATTAAATGTTGGTAAAAATAGCTTCAGAAATAAAACATGAAGAGAGCTTCTGGCAAAGCCCTGTCCAGTTTAATTCATACATTAAATATTTGCTAGTAGGGTCAAAAGCTGAATGCTTAGATATTTTGCCCTTTGAATGAACCTAGCTAAAATAAAGACAAGGAAATCAGTTCTGCAGAAGCTGTCTCTAGAATACTAGGATCAATTTAAACATCAAAGGATGGAGAGATCATACGGACAGCCAGCCATATTATTCTGTACAATTAATACTCAGAGAGGTGTTTCCTGAATTCTGAATCTTGTGCAGGGAAGATAATATTAAAATTTCAGAGTTTTAATTATGTAAAACAGTCCTTGATCCTTAGCTCCTGAAAACAGAGCAGTTTATTTTGTATTAATGAATGTAGAAAACATTCCCCAGTCTGAATCTCTACGTCAATGCAATCTTTTTAACAGTCAAATTAGCATTTATATTTCTAAAGGTAATTTTTAGACAATACAATAAATAAAAGATATGCTGGTAACCTCCCAATGGATAACGTGGTGCTTATCCAGCATCTACAATGCAAATTGGCCAAGGATTACGTAATGGTGGGCTCTGCTGGTCTTGGGCAGGGCGGGATGAGCGGTGTTCTGGATCTAGCGCTGGGCTTCACACCTCTGCACACTCCTCGTGTCTTGGCAGGAATGGCTCGCTCGGACAGGGCTTGGCTACAGAACACAGCAAGCCTGCACGGAGGGCAGGATCTCTCAGAACTTCAAGTTTTCTAGCAGGACCCGTATCTCAGACTGCTAGGTTCAAAATGCACTATCAGTATGCAGTGTAGAGTTAAATTCTGGAAAGGTTTCTCCAAATTGGAGCTTCTTTATATTGGAGTTGAGCTCTTTGATTCTGAGAAGAAGGGAGAGAGCAACAGCCAATTGCTCTGAGCAACTGGAGCTGAAATTTGCCTGAAGTGAGTCTGTACATCTCCGCATAGGCTGCGAGTCACACTTGTGCTTCAGATTTCAGTAGTAGCTTTAATCTGGTTTAATAATTTCTATATAGGTCTTATTTTAGTAATATATGGACCAGGATTTCAAGATTAAGGTGAATGATTTTTGTAGTTTGGAAGTGTAATTTCAGTGTTGGGATGCTTTGCTGGCTACTAAAACTTCACTTCTAATTCGAACTTACTTTAGGCGCCTAAATGAGTGTCCTCATTTTTGTTACATGATTTAAAGAGCTCCTGTGCTTTTAAAGATTTATACCATGGCTTAAGTTACCTAAGTATCAGATTTTTGAAAATCTTAAGCATGACTGTGTTCTCACTGTGTATCTCCAAAATTTGTGTTTGTTCTTTATGTAGAGAACTGCACTCTGTCATGTGTAGTTTACTCTACTGTTTAGTTTGGGATGATAAATGGCATTAAGAATGGATTAAAATAAATAAAGCAAGTCCCAAGGTCCTGATCTTTGTCTACTGTAATAAAGGAGATTTCTGTCATTTACTTCCATTGGATATATCGGAGAAATTCTGTGTGGTAATGAAGTACATGGTATTTGCTTAGTTTGGCTCATGTGGTAGTCAATGGAGTGACTTGACTTCAGCAGCAGAGCGTTGTCTTGCTGTACATAATTAACATTACAGTGCTGTAGGTTCTGCATATGAAAATCCAGGCTATTGTAAAGTGTAGTTTCCTTGCCAACCATATCTCAGCTCCCGCACTTCTGTAGTTGTCTCTGTGATGCTTTGTGCAGTATTATTACCTCTCACCTAACACTGGAACTGGATGGATCTGCAAAACCTAGCTATTATGCCTTCCATTTGAAATACATTAATATGAAAATAAAAATAAAATCTAAGATGTTTCACTCCCTGAGTAATTCTATTCTGGAAACATTAAAATAAACAGACTTGATATTGGGAATGTTTCAAAAAAACATTTTTTTGGCAAATGCTCATAGCTAATGAATTTGCATTCATAAATATAAGCATTTATATCAGAATTGTGATGAAAGCATTGAAATTGAGTCTTCTGCCAAACTGAAGGTCATATAGCTTGAAATTCATGTTTTGAAAATTTCATACTTGGAGTGAACTGCTTGTCAGCAAATTACAGAGCAAGACATTCCCAGGAATTCCTTTCTGCTGAAGTTCAAATAATGAATATATGTGTGTGTCTGGAGAGAGAGGAAGCTAATTTCCCTGGTAGCGTTTTTCACTGAACATTATTTGGGCAATTGGTCATAGGGAAAGCTTTCTTGAATTTCTTCTTGTTTCTCTTTGATTTGTCCCCAGAAGATACTGATCTGGCTGGATCTGCCACTGTGGGCAGGATTCATTGGTTCTCAACATTTTTTTGCATGTTCTTGGCACCATTTTCTGAATTGTAGACATCTATTCAAAACGTTAGTAATAGCTGCAAGTAGTGTCAGATAAATGCACATTATACTCCGTACTTAAGGTATAAGCAAGATCTTAGTCTTGCTCTTTCCTTGTTGAGACAATCATTTGCATTGCTTGTTTCTCTGTTATTGTGATTTAATGTATAGATTGGGAAATAAATCTTGTTTCTTCTTGATCAAGGCTACTTTGCACGTGGAAGACCTCTCTAATCCAATTTATGCCATTCCTGCATGATCCTCTAGGACGCAGATGTGAAGGTATGCCTAGGAATAAGCGGAATATGACAGTCTTCCTCCCTGATGGTAATATGGTATCACATCAGGAGTGTAGTACAATTGCACCTTAAAGCTCGAGGAGAAAGAGCAGGATGTGGCACCACCCAACTCGTGAGGGAAGCTATCATGATTTGTTTCTATAAGTCTCCATACTGCTATAAAAAAAAAAAAAAAAAAAGTCAGGCCAGAACCTCAACAGCTGTGATTTGGTGGCTTTGCTGTCTTCAGTGGAACACTGCTGTGGGGTCCTGCTCAGTGACCTTCACCTGGCCAGGCATCCTCTCCACACCTGCCCTCACGATGTCCGTACTTACCATTTACAGCCAGGCTAACTGCAGTGTATAAGGTGTGATTTTATGCATTGCCCTTAGTTGCAAGGTTGGGATGTTACTCCGCTTTCCTTGTCAAATCAGAGATCCTCTCTGTTCTTCTGATTCCTTCACAATCCAGACTTGATAAGACAGAGGTTCTGGCAAACTTTTGAAGCCAGGTTAGTTCCTGGATTGCAGTACAGCCCTTAGCTGGGTGGCTACAAAGGAGAGGATAGTGTGTTGTCCTGTGACAACAAGGGCAAGGAGGGAGCCATTGGAATACCTTAGGCTGGTCCTGCTGCCAAAAGCAATGTATTGTCAAACTATGGCCTAATTTTCTTACCTAGGGTATGTTTAAAGAGGGATTGGCATCAGGAACAGGCCATTAAGCAATTGAAACTCTAATAGAAAAACATAACCTTATCACAGATTTTTTTAAAAAAACCCTCAGAAAATAGCTCAAATATAAGGTTAATTGGAGCCAGAAATGTCAAACTAATGTAGCAATTTACCCTGGGAGACTGCCCTGGCCTTTGAGTATAGCAATAGTACAGACTACTGAGTAGGATAGTGAAGAAATATAATAGGATTTTATGTAGTCCCCTGTCATATTAAACATTCTTTGCAATTAATTTCTTGTTGCAATGTTATTTTCACTGACCTATTTTTTTTTTGACCTCCTACAATCTTTAAGCTACCAAAGTAGGGCATACGGGAATTCACATTTCTTAAAAAAAAAAAAAAAAAAAAAAAAAAAAAATAAATAAAAAAAAAATCTTAACTTAAACCACTATCAATATACACATTGCAGCATAGACTGATATTAACTCAGAGCAGTATAAAAATGCCATTGGCTCATTCTGGAATAGCCTTTAGTCTATGAGCTGTCCTGATCCATTCAGGAAAATGCTGCTTTGGAACAGCTCATTCGGAAACAAGTGGGAGTTTTCTTGGACTGAGAGCTTGAGCATGTCTGCCCTGTGAATGAAACATGATAGGCGGTCCTCTTTTCCTCCTTCTAGGTGCTGGCTCTGTTTCTTCTACTCTTAACTGGACATCAGACTAAGATATCTTGGTATTGTGATCTGATCTGATTAATCCAAACCTGCTGGACTTAAAATGAACAGAAAATCCCAGAGTTGTGGAATAGACAGGGAATCCTAGCAGGTTCCAGTTGTTCCAATCCTAATTGAATCCCTCTCCACGTGAGCTGGAAACATAATAATTTTCATTTTTTAATCAAATATTACTGAAGTGATGTGCTCTACATATTTTTATACAACTTCCACAGTTTACTACAGAAGTTGCTGTATTTCTCTGGAGACCTAATGTTTCATGAAAGCATCTCTTTGTGTGAAGGTGTGAGTGGGTAGGATAGTCAAATTTCAAAATAGATCATTGTGGGGGAGTATGAAACCTCCATCACAGAGACAGATAGGTGTCTGCTAGAAACAATCAAGTGGTTTGGGAGGGAAGCGGAGTGACATGATCTCTGGAAGTCCCTTTCAATCCTGTTTTTCTGTCATTCTAAAAGATGGAAAGTGCCACCCCAGGAGAGTATACCTGGTATCCAAGTTTGCAGTCAAGGTGACCATCTCAAAGGAGAGAGAACAATACAGGCAACAAAACTTTCTGATCTTGAATGAGAACTCTTAACATAAGCCCAAGTCTTTTCCAAGCAAGTGTCCTTAATGTTTTTCCCTGTGGTAGTAAGGATTTTTTTTTTTTTTTTAAAGTGGAGCTGGAACCAAATATCACTGAATCAAAGAAGCCAGCATTAATCAAAGCACATCAAAGAAGTTCCTCATCAGTTGCCTGGAGCAACAGAATCTACAGCTTATCATCTTTCTTATGCTAAGCTGGAGGAATTCAGAGAAGAGAATTTTGCCTTTGCTCTCAAATGAACACAGAAATAATATTTTCAAGGTTTCTTTAATAGTTCAGTGTATTGGTCCATTTAGTCATCATAATTTCTGGGTCCCAGACTTAGATTTCCCAGGAATGTTTTTCATATGAAAATTAATCAAATCAACCTTTAAAACTAACTACGTGGTGGGTTGCTTCTCTTGACATAGTTACAGAAGTGCTTCCCACTCTTACCTTTTCCCTTTCTGTTCCCCCCATCTCTTGGACAGTAAAATGGTACCCCTGCGACCCCTCCTTGCCTAGCTACAGATGCATTTAATTCTTAACTAATTGTCATTAGGGGGAGCAAGCAACTCAGATGGATAAAAAAACATGGCTCCCTGTTCAAGTAAAAAACCCTCCCCTCAGATCAATATTTTGGTGTTCTGCAGTGCAGAAATTAGAGATGTTTGTATTGAATATTTATTTCCAGAATATCCATTTGTTACCTAAAAATTTATGGATGCTCAGTGCAGCCAAGGGATTACTCAGATGTAGAAAGGCCTGAATTTTAGATCTCAGCCAGATTGATTCTTACACTTGCCTGAGCAGTTGACAAAATGCTCACCTGCAAAACCTCTTTGTCCAGCCTAGGGAGTTTCAGGGCAGCATTGATAGATACCCAGACCTTTCACGTTGATTGCATTTGCCAGGAATAAAATCCAGTGACACGTGAGCGTTGTGATCAACCTGCAGTAATGCAGAGGTTGGAGCTGTGTTTTTATGGTTTTCTAAGGTCACATGTTGTGCACCTCCTTATTAACGAGTCCCAGAACATTTTCCAGAATGTGTACCTTGCGGGCTGAGTTCCGTACCCCAGCTCAGGGCTGGAACGTGTTGGCAATTCAGCGTGAGCGACACTTTGCTCCGGTTGTTATAAGAGGAAGTGAAGAACAGAAGTTCCCCAACTGAAGCTGCAGGGGGAATTTTAGTGCAGTAGAGTATAATTATCCAAACTGGAATATGGCCAGGATCCTAGAGTTAATAATGCCCTCTGCTCTTGCAAAAAATGCCATAGGATCTTTAATGACCATGAGTGGTCAGCAGGCTTCACAACACATCTCAAAGATAGATATTAAACAGAGCAGAAGTGTAGGTATTTCAGTCTTCCCTATAACACAAGTATTTCTGGACGGCTTCTGGCTGCAGCCTTCAGGTTCAGGAGGGAATTCAATAACAACGAGGGAAGAGACATTAGTCTTAATGAAAAAGATCTTATTAAAGGCAAATGATGTGTAGTTGGTGAAGTACTCATAAGGTAGTATTTGGGTACGCCAAACCACCAGTCGCCTTCCTTCACCATCAGCATCATGTAGTTTGGAGCAATGGAATAGAAAAGGTTAACAGCATCCTTCGTATAATAGGGTCAACTCCTGTGGAAATTTGTATTATGAATTTACCCTGATTTCTGTAATAGTGGAAGCTATGTGCAAATGAATTGGGAAATGGGTGTAAGTGGCAAGATTACACTGTGTTAATTAGCCTGGCATCTACAAACTGTACAAAGCCTGGGAACTTCCGCAGGAGGAGAGAGAGCACATCACAGAGAATCCCTTTCGTCACAACTGACTTGTGCCATGGGACTTCAATTAAAAACCAGACCAGGCCACTTTTAATTGCTTTAATGTGTTTTGTTGTTTTTTTTTTTTAATCCTTTAAAAACTGTCTGTCTACTTTTCTACAGTGCAACCAATCATGATGGTAGATGAGGTGCTAATTATCTGACTTGGCTGCTTTTTCTGAGCACAAAGTTTGTTATTCTGTGCTGCACCTGGCACTGTAGGCTCCGATGTTTGGGATCAGTGGGCATTACTATACTTCCAGCTGTAATAAAGAGTAGAAGGCCAATGATCCTGTATGTGTTGTTAAAATGAAGAAAGAGTTGCACAGTTCTCCCCCTTGGTACATCCCAGTACATTGGTACTTACACCATAACAGTATTATCTCAGGGAATATGTCTGCTACAGGATATTGCCACTTTAACCACCTGAACTACCTTTTAGTTCCAGTTTCAACTCAGTGTCAAAAATATTACCCCTGTTTAAGATTAATTTGTGACAAAATGTCATATTAATACAGCTATATTTCCCAAGGGATAAATATGGCCTTTTGAGGAGCAGCTATGGCAGAGCGCTGTATAGGACTATAGAGAATTATCAACAGGCTTTTGCTTTAGCAAATGTCATGCTACCAGAAGAATGGTACAGTTTGTGGGTAAGTATAGTGTACAGACTGTTTTATTGTAAGAGCAAGGTTATGATATTTTCTTCCTATTAATCCATATCTCATCCTTAATTATATTAGCACCTCTCAGTGACACTTGACTAAGAATCTGAGGAGGAAACTGTCAGTTACCTATAAATCCATCAGCATTGCACCATGTTTATTTTTGGCATCTTAGCTATTTTGTGAGGCTGATGTTTACCTTGAGGTTTGTGCATCATTGACAGAATTACTTCTGATTTACACCAGTGGGTGAACAATCGCAGTTGAGCCCTATGTGATACTGAGGAGTTTACTTGTAAGGGGCTAAATCCAGCACTACTTGTAAGCAACCGTAATTCCAGTGAAACCAATAACAGCTGCACCTGCATGTGCTAAGGCTGACTTAGGAACAGTTTATCAGGTATTCTCTTTGTACTGAAGTAGAATAAACTTTGTATTTCATTGCACCTTCGGTACCTGTAGTATGCCTTGGATATGTCTGAGCTATTGAAACCAAACTTCTTAACAGCCCTCAGATGTAAAGAAAGGGAAGATGAAAAAAAGTCCTAAAACTAATCTCTTGCCTCACAGCATTCCACCAAGATGACTCAGAAAATGACAAGGGAACCAAACTGCAAATTAGGCTCTAGTGTTTGTTGAAGACATTTGCCACCGGTAAAAATGAGTTACTGAAACAGTAAAGCTGAAGACTTCAGAGAAACTTTGATTGACAACAATAATTACAGCTATTCATGTCCCTGTAAGAAATACAGTGCAGGCTAGGTGTAATAAATGTATGAAAATGATATTCTAAATCTGAGCAGAAGCAGATGTAGGTCCAAACAGTTTAAGTCTTCTGTACAAATTTCTGTGCATTATTATGTGTTGAAAGTAGCAGTAGTTACCAGGCAGGTGTGTAAATTTGCTTTACATGACTAGTCAGCTAATCATTGAATGTTTTCCAAATAAGCCTCTGTGAATAAAGGCTGTCCTGCATCAGGAGTGTTCAGTCCAGTGAAACACTTTGGGTTCCGTACCCAGATGCTGTTCATGGGACTCTTTCACCTGCCCTTTGTGTCCTGTCTCTGGAGGAGACACCTACTGACTATTTGAGCCACATCCAGATGCTGCCATAGTGGTCAAATAATTTCTTTTGTACCTGAGGACAACCTGGTGCTCAGCCTAAGCTTCTACAATATCCCTCATAGGTGAAGGAAGAGGAGAGAGAGTTGAAGTGCACGGTCTTCTGTATCCACATGCAGCTTGGTGCCTTAGGTGGGGAACTGCTGTAAAGAGCTAAAACTAGGAGCTCTTCTTTTAGTTAGCCAGGCTTACTCACATCTCACATGTACGTGTTACCAAACATCAGGTTTTCTAGGTAGTACCTCAGAACAGGGATGGGCGCAAAAGTGTGAGGAGTGCTTTGAGTCTTAAATGCACATTCTTACATGTTGTCTAATGCTATGGTGGACTAACATGGGACAATATGAAACACCAAATGTTTTATAGCCAGTAACTTTTGGTTTTGTCTCCCTAACTTCATGTCTACCTTCTATTTCCTTCTCCTGCTCTTGCAGTTATGCTTGTTACCAGAAGACCCTGTATACCTCCCGATGCTCTCGGATCGTGAAGGCAGGCTGTTAGCTGTACTCTGCTAGCAAGTGGGTCCAGCTGTTCCCCTTGACGTTTCTGATGTCAGAAAATCACTTTCTCTCTTCCCTGTCCTGTCCTGGGATCTGGATTCATTTTATGACATGAGGCAGAGTGTGGAAGGCAGCACTGTAGCCAACCCTCCTTAGAAGGCCACAGCAGTGCCAAAAAAGTGACTGTAGACCAGTGTGATTGGTTTTATTGAACCTGTTAGGTCATGTTGCTGGGAGTTGTTCAGTAGGGTTAACATTCACAAGGAAAGGGAAAATAAGAACTTAGTCAATCCACAAGTGCCAAGAAAGAGTTAAATTAATGGGGGAAAAGGAAAAAAAAATTCTTAATGCTGGAGAAAGATTATGCTGGCTTACTTATCAGGTTCATGCTGAGCCCAGTCGTAATTGGAATGTACCCTTTGTAAAGTTTATTGGGTCCTGGGGCAGCTTGTTACTGAACCGGTCAATTAATCTATTTTTTTTTTTAATGAGTTAGGGGATTTCCTTTTGTGGAAAATCACCAGGAAACCTGACCAAATGCCCACAGCTTGGGGAAAGCGTGGCCTTAACATATAGAAAACCCTTCCTCCACAATTAAGAGAGGAAATAGACGCCTCCCCTTATGGGCAGCATATTTGACCAATCCAGGGACAAAATAGATGGGATTTCACCATTGACTTGGAGGTTGTCGAGGGAGGATCACCATGAAACAAGATTACTTGAATGCAGCTTGGTGTTGAAGGAAATAAAACTGTTGAGTCTCCCTGCTGAGAGGCAAATGATTTCCATTTAAAAACCTGTTTGTTCCATGCTGTAACTCCCAATGTAGCAATAATTAATGATATCAGAAGGTTACGAAAGACATTCTGTTGTGCTTGCTCTGTTCTAGGCATGAAATTGGATTAACATGAAGATAAACTTAGACTTTAAATCTGTTGAGGAAATCAGTAATTATGTCAAAATTCACAAATATTAATCTGTTTAAGTGTGTCAGGATACTGTTCATCTATCAGCAAAGCATCCTGCCTTGTCAGAATTCTGTCGAAAGGTTAATTTTCTAAAATACTTGGATTTCCAATAACAGAATATTGTGAAGAAGCAGCTTATTGAATAAACACCCACAATCTCATCTCCGGAAACGTGGTTATATCTGTTTCAGTGGCATCCAGCCAGTACCCTCTCATGAGTAAGAATCAATTTGCAAGGTATTGAATAAACCCTTGGGCTCTGCTGTGGAGAGGTGACCACCCATGAAAACAACTGACATGAAAAAAACACAAGGTATGACAGTGCATAGTTATTAAAAGTGTACCTCTGCTGAAAATGAGCACATGGAAACACTATTGGCTTTAGGAGTGAGCAACGGGGACTGTTACAAAGGCTCTGAAATCGTTAGGTAGAAATTCACTGGGTGATAGGAAGGGGAATGGATGTCATATCTGCTCAAATATTTCATGAGTCCAATCCTGGCCCTGATTATGCTGTAGCTAGTTTTAATCTAGCTGTTGTAAAAAACAGAGAGGTGACACAGTTGTGTGAATACGTGTGCAGTTCTAGAGCCTGCAGTGAAGCCTGTTCAGGTGCAGCTCTGTTGCTACTGATTGATACTCATGAGGTGGAAGCTCGGCTTGGCGTGCCTACACAAATTGCGGTCACACCTTCCCATTGCAATTTAGATTTACCCTGAGGGAACATGTTAGCTTTGAGTGCCCATTTAATTAAGTAGCCTGGTAGTGCAATTGTATTAGAAATAGAAAAAATAACTTTTGGTGCTAGAGTCCCTTCTCAGTGGAAATGGAGATAGTGGGCACCTGTATAAATCTATTAGGAATGATTCTCAGTACCATCTACCATGAAATGTGCATCTAAAGCCATTTGAGATTTAGAATTACAGTAGTTTCACTCTTCCTTCATTCATTTCCAAATGCAGGCTAAGCATACCTCTCAGAAAAAAGGAGGTTTCATATCAGGAAGATGGTTAGGAGGCTGGAGTCACCTGTTGTTGGGGCATCACAGAAGGCTGGCAAGTCTCCTAACAAAATGTTAGTTTGCTTTTGTGAACAATGCTGGCAAAAAGAGAGGGTGTTTGTAGCATCAAGTACGCAGCATGTGAGAAAGGTGCATTTTGCAGCAGCTGAGTGTTAGAAAAACCTAAGCTGAAGGCTAACAGGTAACTTTAGTATTTTGCTGAGCAAATCTCGGAGCAGATGAGATGCCGCTATTCCAGAAAACTGGAATTTTGTTCCCTTAGGAAGAAAAGAAATATAGTAAGGGAATTTTTTACAAATAATAATTTTTTAATGTGTTCTCATAAATTAAAATAAAATTAAGCTTTTTATAAATATGCTGACCATGTCTATCGTCTTCATAAAAGTATGTGGTGAAAAAGAGTGTACAACCTCCATAGATATTTCTTGTAGTCATGAAGTAGTTTCTCAACACTTCAGAATTTCTTATTCTGCTTAACTGCACATAAAGCTAACTCCTTTTTCTAGTGGGAAACATCTGGTTGCTCTACACTAAAAGCCCCTTTCAAATAGTTATCAAATCTCGTGCTTCTCCTCTGTTTTCTAGTTGAGCTGTCATCTTAGTTAACATGAAGAAACAGGGTATGAAGGTAGAGAGCGGCTGTGGATGTATTTTTAACACTACTGGAAGGACAGGCAGCTCCTGTTCAGCAGGACTGGTGTTGCATCTGGCTGGCCCATGGACAGAACATGGCTTTTCCATTTCCCGACTCGAGGTGTCCTACCAACACAGCTCTGTGGCGTTACTGGTACATTCGGGATTTCTGCACAGTGCTCCATGTATACCTGTTGTAAATGTCTTGGCTAAGATCATACAGGTACCGTATGACTGGAAGGACGAGAAGTCCAGGCTTAACCTCTGGTGACAATTACAAGACATTCCTTGCTGTTGTTGACTTCAGTGAGAGCTGCAAAGTGTTTGTGTGTGGGAATTTGTTAATTTGTTAAGCCTCTATTGTCTACAAAATATCCATGCGAATTTATATGAAACTCTATGATGATCAAATCAAACCTAAAGAGATTGTTTCATTATTTTTCATTTTATTACATACTACTTCTCTTTACCGATTTCTTTTTCATTTTTTCCTATGACCCTAACTCTTTTCTTTATCATAGGCTGCTTGCATGGGCTCAGCCATAAAATCATCCCTCTGTGAAAGAAACATTCTTCTATTTATTGTGTCTATTTTTTGTGATGACTTTTACTTTGAATTTATTTAACAATACTCCACTTCTTTCCTTTCACTACATTGTAACTGCTCCTTCCTGTGTCATTTGGAACTGGCCAAAGTTAGCAGATCTCAAATTTCTTTTTCCTCTTTGAAACGTGCAGATTCTTTCTCCTTCAGTGATAATGGGCATTGTGTTTCCTTAGAAATATTTTTGAGGGCCTATTATTTCTCAGCCACTTCAGTTGGCAAACTGAAGGCTTGGAAACAAATTAGCTTGGATGGCAGCCCAAGCTGTCAAAACGAGCCTTCCATTCATTACTGAATCATCCACCTCCTGCATTTAGATCTTCAGCCCCACTTTTCCAGTTAGCTTCTCAGTTGAGTTCTTGGATTTTTTTTTTTTTTCTGTCACTTTTGAACTCACTACTCCAGTCTACTTCACTTACAACCACACAGCAAAGCTACTTCCCCATTATCTGGAAGTAATGAACTAATAACGCCAGTATAGAGGGCACAGCTGGTCATCATTTTTGGTAGAAGACATTAAAATTATATTTTTCTCACATATTATTTCTCTATGAGTTACCTGAGGCTGAGGCCTTGATCACTTTGTCAGGCAAGAAATTCCAGGTAGGAAAACCAGTTCCTACATGGATATCATTAAATTCGTATTATTAGTCTTGCTGTGAAATGTTGTGGATATGAGGTAGGAAGATCTTATATCCCTTATATATTTATCTCCCTTAAGTATTGTTCCTCACTTCTTTCTGTGTTTTGGGTTTTTTTGTGTATTCTTTATGCTTTTTTTCCTCCTCTCCTGTCTTTGTCAACAAATATTTTCTCAGAGGAATAGATTTCTCAGAAATCGCAAATAACATCTTTTTCTCCCTTCTCACTTGGTGTCAATGTGGACTTTGATTGTTAAGGGAATTTTCAGAATTAAATGTTTTGGTTTCAGACATGAAACTTTTTTCCTTCTATTTTAGATTTTTTTTTTTTTTAATTTTTAAAGTGTATCTATTTTTTAAAATCAAAAATAATTCTGATTGATAGTGAAAGGTGTTTAAACCAAGTTAACAAATTTGAAGGTTCCAGTACTACCTTGAAATAAGGGGGACTGTTGGGGAATTTGTAGAGGAGAGTAGTATACAGTCAGAGTCATATCCTTGACACTTTCTATGGGGCAGACAAGGAAAGTGTGTAGTAGGGCTTGCTAGCTCTTATCCTACCAGGCTAAGATGGCAACTTTGAGTTACCATTTAGCGTATTTCTAGAGTGTCTTTCTGAGGAGAAATTCTGTAGGAAAGACAAGAAGCATTCAGGTTTCTACTGAAAATTTCTTACACAACCTCTGAAATTATCCTTCATTCTACAGTGCAATTCTAACTGATTGAAATCTATCAGAAAGAAGGGAGAAGAAGAAAATTTCTTGCCCAAACCCAATGTTCTCAACACATATAGTGTGAATATTGGAGGCTATGGAGAAATTTCCACTGGCAATGCAGCTGTTGGAACGAGGTGTACAGAAATGAGTAAGTGTCAAACCTGGTAAAGTTTCAGAAGACAAAGGTAGAAAAAATGCATATGTACGACAGAAAATGAGCTGTAGTCCTTCATTGCTGGGTTTGAGATTGGTTCAGAAAGGTCTAGATTTCTTCACGGTAAAGGTCACATGTTTCCTTCTTATTTATCTCTAGAATCAAGCATGCCCCTCCAGTCTGAATATAGAACAGTATGAACTAGGACCTGGACAACGAAAGCCTTGGCTGAAGATCATAAGGACTTCACATACCTGCAGACTTGTGGAGAGAGCTGGGGAGCATTGCTGGGCTGCATAAGAGTCTAAAGAAGGTACTTATTCCCTTGGCCTCTACTTTCTTGTTTTGCTCTCAGGCAAGGCTTTGCTGCTTTGGAGCTGTACTCTTTGTTCAAGCACGTGGTTATCTCCCTTAAGTCCAGGCTGGGCCAATAACCCTAGCAATTCTGGTTTTGCTATGATTGTCAACGAAAAGTTGAAGGTTAAGCTGGAAAACTGCTTTTAAGTTTTGGATTTACAGTTCAGTTGTAAATAACTGCTGCTCTAGACAAAAATTATGAGTGTGATAATGGCATGAAGTGAACTGAATAATGTGCAAAGTTTAATAAACCTTGATTTTTCAAATAACAGAACTCTTGACATGTAGTAAAATCAGGTCAGCTTTTCCAATTGTGTCTAGCATGTGCATCTTCACCAACAGTATAGGAAGTAATTCTGTCATGCATAGGGATGGCACCCTTGATCTGCGAGTTGAAACCACGAGGCTGTTCAAGGACATCCACAGGCCTCTTACTGTCAAATAGTAGTACAGCTACTCATAGATGTGGCCTGAAACAGGTAAAGCATCAAGGCAGCAAGAGCTTGAGGTTTCTCTGGTTCTGCAACCAGGTGAAAACCATCAAATGGATAGGAAAACAAAAAGCACAGCAGGGCACACATGGGCTTTCTGTGATGTATTGTGTAAACTGGGATAATTTTCTAAGGCATTTTCTACTGTGCCCACATAAAGATGGACACTCAGACAACTGTGAGTTAGCATAAAAATCTGATTGCTGTTGCGCTTACTGTGGTGAAACTTTATCTCCTTTTTTCTTAACCGACTTCTCTGAAATTCTGACAGAATTATAATTCTGTTACAAAATAAAAAATTAACTGGAAAATTTTATAGGATTGTTCTCCTAAGCAAGGTAAGTCTATTTCCCTTTTTGGTATGCAAGAATGTTGCCTCCCAAATTAAATACGCATTTAGCATAAATACACTGTGGTGATTATTGCAATTCAGGGACTAACGATTTCCTTTTTCTCTGGCTTTCCTGCTACGCAGTTGGTTGTGTTTCCACACTTATGGTGGTGAATTAACTCCCTGTGGATAATATAGCTTCTCTTGCGGCAGATGTCAAGTCTCTTAATCAGAATTTAAGTAGCCTCAATTACATTTACCTTAATTCACTTTGGAAGTGAAGTAAGTTAAATTGAATTAGGGCTACTTTAATGCTGAATGAGTATGTCCACACAGATATTCAATGCATTTTAGCTAATCTGTGCTAAAAATTTATTCAGATTCTCTTTGCAAGTGCTCTCCAAAGTACAGATATGAAGTCTGTGGATGCTGGAGATAAGGAATAGGGGGGATAGACAGTGCTCGCTATGAAAGCAATGGTTGAGAACATTTAAAGTGTAAAGGATTGAGTTTTGGCCCACAAAGATTCTTGACTTGAATGTAAGACACTGCGTTTGGCTGGGGTGTGCTGGTCAGAAAGTGATCAGAAGTACAGCTCTGATGAGTGCAATTCCATAGCAAACAAGAAATTTATTTGGTCACAATGCACAAAAGTCTGGATCTTTTTGTGCCTCCTTAGAACAAAATGTATTCAGATAGGAACAGCCTCACATCTGGTTTTGCAAAGCAGTTGGCTCTATGGGATGCATCTGCGATTAAGATGCTTGAAATTACACACATATAGACAGGCATGCTAAATGAAACCAAAAACGTATCTATTCCTTTATCTGTTAGCAACAGTGGCCAACAGCAGAGCTTCTGAGGATAAAACTATGGCATTAATTCCCTGGTGCATTCCCCTGGCATAAATTAGCAGGGGCTCAGGATTTTCTGAGACAGAAATGGAGTTTTGGAGCAATTATTAATTGCTCATAATGGATTTTTCCCATGCACTGCTGAGCACTTTAGCACTTCACTGAAACAGAAGTGTTTATTATTGCTCTATGGTTTGTGTCATTTGTATTACCTACCCATCATTTCTATGTAGAATGCAGTTTTGGGATTAACCCCACAGGTACATGACCAGTGTGGTTATTTCCCGTAAGTCCCCATCAGCAAGCAGTCGAGTTAGCTAACTTAGGTTTGTCTGGCAACCTGCATAAAAATTGCCTACCACTGTCTACCTTCAGGATGTCTGTTTTGCAGCCCCCCATTGTGCAGTAGGCCCTGCACAAACTCATGATCAGAAAACAGCTTTACCCTGATGAGCTTACAGCATGAACAGACAAGAAAGAAGTGACCTGCCTGCAGCCAGAGAACAAAGGGGAAAATACAGTCAGGCATGCTTAAATGAGAAGTAGACAACAAAATAGAAAATGGCCTTATGCAGCTTGAAAATTTATGATCCACCCATGTTTTGAACAAGTATACAGTCCTGATCCTCCTCTCTAAAAAGGAGAAGATACAGAGAGGGCAACAAGGATGAGTAGTGTTATAAAATGGCTTTTCTAGAAGAGATTAAATAAAATAGGGCAGTTCAGCTTGGAAGAGAGGCAAGTAATACAGGTGTGTGTGTAAAGTCATAAATGGCATGGGAAAAGTGAATTGGAAATGGCTGTCCCCTGGAATAACATAAGACTAAAGGGGCAATGAAGGGAATTTTCAGGCAGCTATTTTAGATCAGAACAAATAGAAGTGCTT